AGATCCTCATTTCTATCACAGATCCTCATTTCTATCACAGATCCTCATTTCTATCACAGATCCTCATTTCTATCACAGATCCTCATTTCTATCACAGACCCTCTCTTTCAACCATGGCTACAATCCTGAACACGGAGGATCTTCCAGCCGATCCACTGGAAGATCTCAAAAACAAGGCTGCCGAAATTCCTCTCGGTGACCATAGCGACCTGATTGAGTTATTGGATAGTCTCTACGAGAAAGTTATCAACGTTACTACGCCCAATTACACGGACCACACGATAGCTGGAAATCCAGAGTCAGACAAGGCCCGAGTCACACATGATCAAGCGATCGCACTGATGGACGGCTTAGAGCCTGACGCACTGGACATTGTGTTGAACTATGTCGACGAGGAGCAGGGCCAAATTTTCGCCGACGAAGTCGTACGGGACGTCCGCCAGGATGAAACGAAAAGCTATGAAGCTTGCCTCAAGACCCGCCAGAAAACCCAGGCTGCCATCGCAGCAAGCTTCGGCACCAAGACTGAAGAGGAGAAACGACAAATTGCCCACGCAGCGAGAGATGAACGGAATACTTTTCGCGAAATTGTTTGAGAAGCTACCAGGCAAGACGGCAGACAAGACCGTTGAGATGGGAGTGAGAGGCAAAAGGAACTACGTCAGCAAGTTCCAGGATATCTTCCGTCAGACCGACCGGGTCGACGATCGAAAGCTGGAGGTGGACAATGTCATGCGCAAGCAATACGGGCTGCAAGGACCACTGAGCTGGTCCGAGTTCACCTTCTACGCGTGGAGGCAGCGTGTCAGGGATCAAAGAGCAAATAATACCGCCAACGTCCTGGATACGTTGCAGGCAGTCAAGGCTGGATCGATCGCCAACGAAATCACCAAGGCGGTTATGAGGTACTGCTACGACCATGCAGCGAAGCCTCCGCGTTCCAAGGACCAAGTCGAGTGGACTATGGAGACGCACGGCGACCTCTTCGTGGCGCTTCTCGGCACGCCGAACGCGCTGGGCGCGGGCTGGCTGCTGGCTGACCACAACGATGAGCTTGGAGGGTATATCGTGGACAAGATCATTACCAGCGGCGTTGACGGAGGATTAAACATCGTTTTTAAGAGTGTTAAGGGGTGATCCGAGTCATAAGGGCGACTGGTCACACTTCTGTCACGTCCCCGTCTGAGTCTCTGGTGCGGTTGTGTCTCTCGAACCGGTGGGACTTGAAGCTGAACAAGTTGTCGATTGTGGAATGTCTGGTAGAAATACTCTCCTTTATCCGTGAATATATTCTGGCTTGATTTCGATTGTGGTAATAATCGTGATGATAATTCCAGCCACGACACTGTCTCCTTTCTCCGCTGCTCTGCAAGTCCAGCCTTGTGCTCTGCAAGGAATTTGCGTCATTGACTTGGCAAGGCTGTCACCTTCAGTCATTGTCTCGTCTATCCTTCGCTTTTACCTCGCGCTTGATTTCAGTCGATCAGCAAGATGTGAAGATGAGGCTGTGGGTCGATAAAAGCACTGGTCTATGATATCCCGCCAACTTCTTGAAGCAAAAGTGAGATTACATTTCGTCCATTGGCTGGTGCCTAAGCTTTTCACCTGCTTCTCACTCATCGCTGATCCGAAAGGTTGACAAAATCCTCACTTCTTCTCCATCAACATTGATATCGTCCTGTGTATTGTGCTCGCCTGGTAAATCTAGATTACGGCCGTCATCAACCATGGCCAACCGCTATGTTCCACCCGCCCTCCGTGCGAAGGGTCAAGGCCGAGAAGATGTGAGCACTTCGCGCGCCGACAATAGCAACAGATCCATGACCACCATGTCCACTTCTCCAGGTCTTCGCGGTGGAATCAGCGCGTACGGTTCCGGCGATTCCTCCTCTCCACGTCTCCGTGGCGGTGATCACAGCCCTCGACCACTGCCTAGGGACTCCGAATGGATTCCGGACGAAGATCTTTACTCGCTTAGAGAAATTCAACATTACTTCTGGCCTGAAGAGGACCTGGGGAATGGAGTTGGAAAGAGACAAAGCAAGACACTTCACGACTCCGCTGCCACACCCGGAGTTCTTGCCTACGTGTTACTCTTCAAGGACGCAAACCCACGCTGGGAGACCGATGGTATCATTTATACCAAGTCAAGCCTGGAACTGTTGCCTGCACAGCCGGCCATTGGGGCGAATAACGCTGCAGCTTCAGCTTCAGGTCTTGACGTCAAAGTTGGCGACAGCAACGACCCTCTACCTGCACAACTGTCGAACACGCGTCCAGGTGAGGCGCATGCGCCCGAAGCAATCAAGGAGAACCATATCCCCACTGCCATCGATGCTTCAGATGTCGTCTCCGGAGCTAATACAAAAGAGAGGCACGCCATTGCGGTCTTCTCTCAGGTTCGCCGTCCACCTTACGACGCTGACTCCACAAAGATGCGCACATTCAGATTTACGGGCTACTTCAACATCGCCAAACTTCAATTACTTCAGCCTCATTCGCCCGAGCTGCTGAGGATGCTGGAACAGAAATGGACGCTCACCAACCCGCGTACGGGTCAAGTCCGCCATAGGCAGAGAGATGCCAAAGGGTGGGAGGAAAGCCTCAAGTTGAGATGGGCTGTGATCAAGTTCGAGAAAGATGACAACACAGACGCAGTGCGTGGCAAGCCACAAATCGCGAGACTCGAGGATGATGAGGGAGACGATGTCAATGAGAAGAAAGGTGTCAATGAGATGCTGAGAGAATTGAGGATGAAGGACAGTGGTGCAACAAATGAGATTCAGCAGGCCAACGTCGACGTGGACAGGAAGTCGGCGGAGGAAGTCCCCTTGAGCCAACAGAAACAGAAGCTGGATCCGGATCGACAATCCCAATCTGAGACTTGAGCAGCATTCATGGTGGCGGAGGACCGGACGAGGAATGCACGCCAATGACCCAGACAAGCAGAGCAGCAAAATGGTTGACCATGATATTGATACTGTGAGGGGTATCCTGGAATGAAATCAATGCAAAGGCGCAGACTCTGGCCAGTCTACCAGGACGGAAGCTCGCAGCAGTAGTGCCTACAAACGGCGGCTCGAGCTGCCAGGCCTTTACCTTGGAGGGACTTCAACTCGTCGTACAAAATACGATCGACGGAGTGAAGTGTCAAGTGCCCTGGGAAGGCAGCCTCTGCGCGATCAAAACTTGAACCCTCACCAAGCAGGTGTTCCGTCTTGAGGGGGAGATAGTTGTGCAGAGCGGCCACCCCGGTCTGTGCCTCCAGCCATGTGCATGTGTGAGCGTGCGCGGACTACTTGAAAGACACTGAAATGGAAATGCGACCATCAAAAGATCAAGTCCGTGTCGAAAAGCGGTGACCTCTTATCGAGGGATCGATCAACCGTACCGACCTCCCAGTCGCACCAAGCAACATTGAAATCGGAGAACTGTTGACTGGGCGGATATGTGCAAAGACAGGGAAATCAAGGGACAGCAAGATCAGGATCAAGACCATAGCGATCTCTTACTGTAGCAACTTCCCACCCAGCCACGCCTTGTTCTCTGGTTTCTGTTCTTGCTTGCCATTTTGCCTCTTTCTCGCCCTGTTCCTGAAATACCCATCCATACCCCACGGGGTATGGCGGACGTTAATATATATCGATCGAGCTGCCCTCTTCGCTTCGGCCATCAGACAGTGACAGTGACAGTGATACCCATCTCCCTGTTCTCTGCCTCAACGATCACTACCTTCCTTATTCGTACCCTGTCTTTAGCCAACTCGACTTGACACGACTCAGCGGCATTGGCGTTCCTTCAACCCATATCTGCAGTAGGTCACAGTACTCTCGGACGACTTCCCAGCTCGACTTAACCACGCCCACACCCAACTTGACTCAAACATATTGGCTGAATATATTCTAGATCCAGGACTCGCCTCGTGCCCGATAAACCCCTTTCCGAGTCTTGCACCTCCCAGGACGAGCCTAGAATGTAGGAAGCCCACCGTAGCCACTATACCTCACTGTAGTGTACTGTATATGAGTGGGTGGTAAACGTCAAGCATCAGGCGGTAAGCGTCAAGCATCAGGCGGTAAACGTCAAGCGTCAAGCATCAGGCGGTAAACGTCAAGCGTCAAGCATCAGGCGTCGAACATGTAGTAATTATCCCCCCAGCCTTGTCGTCACGTCGCTTCTAATGTGCCAACAATGAATGCATCCTTCCGTCTATTCACAATCGCAGGCTTGGGCTATCCATTATCCGTCGTCTCACTCTGTCTGTCCGTGGTCGACACTTCTCCCGCCCTGCGCACTCCACTCGATAACGCCGCCTCCCACGCCAGCACAACTGAGCAAAACACTCTTCGGCCCATCCCTCACCCTGGCCACCTCGACGCACGTCACGGGCGCAGAGAAGACGAACTCGTTCAACGGACTCGCGGCCGCCACCATCCTCCCCGTGCCGGCATTCCAGACGCCCACGCGATGATTGTCCACATAGTCCGTCGACGCGGCGACCACGAGGTTCAACTCGGGATCGTAAGCCCAGCCCAGACCGTAGTGGCTCTGGCGCCTCGGTACAGGGATGTCGAAGCACACCAAGGGCCGGGACTGGCGGTAGCTGTTCGCCCGGGGCAGATGGCACTTTAGACAGGGTGGTGGGGTGAAGCGCAGGTCGTACACGCTCGTGCTGCCTAGGCCGGCGAGCAGGATGTGCGAGGATGACGGCCCGACCCCGTCCGGCAGGGCCCGCATGTTGGTGATGGCGCTGGAATGTTGGATGCGCGTGGACGCGCCGACGCGCGCTTTAGAGGCAGGCGGTGGCTCTCGCACGTCCAGGAGCAACATCTTGCCGGACCGCGTGCCGCACATCAGCACGTTGTGGTCGAGAAAGTGCACCTTCATCACGTCGTTGGTCCCGTCGGCTTGGTTGAGCGGGTACTGTGTACAGTCGTGGCGTCGCGGGTCCGTGACGCTGACGTCCATGAGCCATACGGAGCTGCCCGTCGCGAGTGCTATATTGTCGTTGGTGGTTTCGTGACCGCCGCCACCGGCAGCGGTAGGCCGCACGGCGAGGTCCACGATGCGGTTGTAGAACGCCGACTCGTTGACCCGGTCGTCGACCCGGCCACTCCACGACGGTGATGCCGCGCAGGAAGCCACTTTGACGCGCGATTCCTGCGGGCTGCCTTCGCGCGCGCTGCTCTGCACCCAGGCCATCATGCCGCGTCCGACGGACACGAGGGCCTGGACGCGCGCCACGCTCGCGATCGTATCAAAGTGCCCGCGCTTGAGCGAGTACAGCGGTCCCGTCGACTCCGGGTGCGGCGTGCTCCGCCAGGATCCGTCGTCACCGGGATATCGCTGATCGTCGTCGTCGTCGAAGAAGGGGTTCCTGTCGCGATACAGGGCCAACATCCTCGCGCTGCGGTGGTAAGGAGACGGAGACCATGTGAAGTCGCCGAAGAGGGTTCCGGAATCGTGGTCCACGGCGAAGCGGCCTGAATTAGGGGTGATGGAGGAGGCGGAGGAGGAGGCGGAGGAGGAGGAGGAGGAGGCGGACGCCCCGCCCAATGCGTCCGCGCCATGGAGACTGGCGGCGTAGTATTCGGCCACGCCGGTCCTGGCACTGCGTCGCAGGTCGCCTAGTCGTCTGTCGAACGAGAGCAGTGGGTGGTGTAGGACTTTGGACCTCGTCACCGTGGTGGCGAGCTTGGCGCGCCGGTTTCGTTCCACGCGCCGTTGGTCCTTTTTGATGACCGTCTCGGCCTTGACGGCTTGACGGCTGTATTTGGACCCCGTGGGCGCGACGTGGTTGGCCTGGATCTTGAAGTATCGGTTCTTTTCCGCATCGAAGTAGAAACCTGGAAGATCGGGTGGCATTTCGTCCTCGTGGGTTTCAATGCACTCATGAGCCTCACTCTGATGCGTGCCTCGTAGTGGAGATGAGATTCCTACTGCCGTGCCACTGGTGACGGCTTCATGTTGTCTGGTGTTGATCGCCCCGGGCCGACATAATTATCAAGGCTGAGGTCTGAGGTTGGTTCAGCAGACCGCAAGAGGTGATTGGAGAGGAGAATATGGAGGTTGTGGAGGACGGCGTGCAAACAATTCCGGCTGCTCGACGACAAGATGAAGTAATTAATTCACCGTCCAGACTAGGATGGGAATAAAGTACCACGGGGGTCAAAGGCAATGTAAGCAAGAGATAGAGACGAAATGACGTAGAATTTGACAAAGTCTGGTATAATTGATAGCGGGATCATCATTCAACCAACGTCTTGATTAGAATTTGCTATGACCAACTCAGAGTCGACGAACATCTTCTCCCAATCTCATACAGATGGTCTTCGATGCTCCTCCTGCGCAACCCCGCCAGCGTGAAGCCCACGAATCTGTCCCGGACACAGCTGGCCATACTACTAACTCAAGGTCTTTCGAAAAAGTCGTACAAGCCTGCCAGTTGCGCACCTTCTGATTCCGAAGTCGAGATGCCCTGCCTCAGCTGGGCTGTCATCGCATATGGGTCTTCAGCAACAGCTGCCCTCAAGAAAGAGAGGCCGCGATCTACCAATTTGGTGATAAGGATGCATTGGGTCTCAGGCTCAGGAACCGATCCAGCCTCCCTGGTACAAAACACGCATTGGAGATCTTCGCAAACCCACGTTTTCCAAAAGGCGCAATTGATGATTTCTGCGCCATGTGATAGGTATGCTGACCGCATGATCCGGTCGTCAAATCTCTTCGTTTGCATGGTCCTGTACTTCTGCACAAAGCCTTCCACGATGCCGTTCACGGCTGACAAGTGACCACCCACGAGTTGGACTTTGCGCGTCAGCGCAGCGACTCGCAGACATTCCAGGTGAGCAAGGAATTGGCTGACGTCCCCATTGACCCCTCGACCTGTTGTATTCGAGAACTCCCAGTCGATAACAGCAACTCCCACAGGGCCGATGCCAGGACGGAGGTCAAGCAACACTGCTCCAGTCCAGCAGTCGCCCAGAACGAAACATTGTTCCTCTGGAGGACATGTTCGGAGAAAGTCTGCTTCCACTGCAGCGAAGAGCACCGCTGCTTCTGCATCATCGAGCAGCGAGGGGAACTTGAGGAGCTGCGACAGGAGTGGCTTGATTGCATGGTGGTGAACGAAGCTTTTCAGTTCCGGCAGCGAGGGGAAAACATGTGCGGCCACTGGGTCATCACGACCGACGTCCTGTGAAGGAAGAAGTCCTGTCTCCGTAATGGCGCGGTGGGTGCCAGGGTCATGCAGGCGTGCAAAGAAGCTACCAAGTTTCTCACCAGTGTCTCGATAACTCTGGATCTCGAGAGCCTCGAGCGGACAACCTAACCTAGGGGCACATGTGGGTGCCTTCAATGCCGCGCTAGAGGACCCGGGCGTGAATCCTCCCAGGTGGATGAAGACCTGCGACATGTCTGAAAGACGTCCGAGGTCCGATATAACCAGAATGTGATTACCATGGTCGTAATGAAGGAGTGTTGGGACCATGACTCCTGACTCGACCAGTATCCAGTGGAGAGGTGCTGCATCGCACTCGTCCGACGTTGGCGGTGATCCTTTCCCGCGCGCAGAGACTGGGAGGAATAAACGAAGGGCGGCAGCTTCTATCATCTGCTTGACGTTGAGCCACCAACCGCAAGAACGAGCCTGCAGGACTAGAATATACCTGGCGTTCTTGAGACATAGGAGCATCCGTACCAACACCAGCAATGAAAGGGGGCGCATGCTTCAAGATGAGCGTTTTCTGGTCTGCGAATCGGCCGTGACCAGGTTCGAGGTCGCCGTCTCCCATCTTCAGATTCTCATGCCGCTGCGGTATTGGCAGCCTAGCAGATGTGGAAGCAAAGCCCACTTTAGTCGCTCGTGCGGTGACGTTCACAACGCCACCGGCGAGCTTGTCGATCTGATATTCATAAGTAGGATCTAGCCTGGCCAGACAAGCCGCGAAGTCGAAGTCCATGGCTTCATCCCTCCAACCATCGCCGACGGTCGATACTCAAGAAGGATCGCGACCGGGAGCAGGAGTGTTGTGGCTAGAAGGTGTGTCTCGTATCTTCACGATTGGCGAACACCGGCTTCCTTTGATAAGGTCCGGTGCCGAGCACGTCCCGGATGGTAGTAATGCGCCCACGTATCCCCGGCTTCGGCATCGGCGTGGTGACGCCGCCTGTGCATTCCCCGCCGGGCTCACGCCCGGAGGATGAGCCCCCAGCTCGTGTCTCACCCAACGCCTGACGGTGTTAACGGCCGACTGTCTGTCCCTCCTCCCTTAGTGGGCATTCGGCACAACGATGGTGATCATTTTCCAAGTCAAGCGCGATGGTCTCGCGTACATGAAATGACGGGCATGGTCTGATTCATTGCGATTTCACTCTGCAGGAAACTAGACGAAGTCTCCAACAGTCCCGAAAAACCCAGAGTATGTCAACCAAACCTGCTTCACATCTCAAAAGGTTAGGAAGAACTCCGGATCTGGTCTCAGTTTCAACCCCATCAATGAGACAGTTCACTTCACCAAGGCTGCATTCCTCCGAGCCCAGCCACCAGCGACGACGAGCTTGAAGATTCGTTTGGGGCCGTCATAGCACCGTGAACGCTCGTGAATTGCAAACACCCTGGATTCGAACTGATGGCCTCTACTACAGCTGCTCTCGAGTTCCTCCCGCGATTTGTGGTCCCAGACCTGGTTTACCCGGAGCGCAGAGCATCAGTTCAGCTACATGCTCTACAACAGTCTAGTCGTGTTGTATAGACGATTCCCCGTGTCCGTGCCGCCGCGGCCCGTGAACTTGTTTTCCGACAACCGAAGGGTGACCAGGGTGATTTGCTGACCTCGCATCATGTCCTTCAAGTCCTCGATTTTTGCGATCGCCGCATTTTGCACAACCCCGGCGATGATGACGATACGCACTGCTTTGCACAGAGTCTTCAAGCGACAGACGAAATCGATGACTGTCCGGCCACTATTCACCACCGAATCGACCAGAATGACGGTCGACATTTCGGCCACGTGTTTTGGTTGAAGGTCATCAGGCCGATTTGCGTGTAGAAAAGATGCCGCCGGAAGAATATCATTGACCCCTAAGGCCATGGGCTCGCCGCCACGCATCAGCGCCACAACCAGCGTTCTCTCTTGCTCTGCAATGCGGATTCCGGGAACTTGATGTCCTTGTACATGAGAAATCATATACTCTTCGACGCCAAGTAGGTCTGGCAGTGTGTGCAGAGCCAGGTACTTAGCTGCTCGTTGATGAGCTTCACGAAGCAACGGCCCGCTGCTGGCCGCGTCGCGCATGGCCGTGGCCAGAATTTTCGAGGATCGCATCTCGGTGAGCTGAATGATATTCAGCACGGGAACAGAGTATCCAGGGAGGACGGAGTTGAGGAAGTCAGGGTCGCTCAGGTGCACCAAAGGCAAAGCGGCGGTATTCAGGCGGGGAGGAGTATCGCGTGCGAGGATGGCTTGATGTGCCGAAAAGCGGCCCTCGCGGATGGCCTGGGCAAGTTCCTTCTCCATGCGTCGGCTGCGTGTCCGTTCTTCGCCTACGATGACCACTGCCCGGTCGGCTTGGGCAAACATGGCTAAATCCAGGACGCTGTCGCCCACGGCGACGACAAACAGGTGATGGCGCTGAAGACGAGCAACTAACCTGGCCTTGACTGTGGCGGTAATAACTTGATTACTGCCACTAGTAGTAGAGACACCGGTCAAGGGGCCTCCTCCGATGACCTTGACCGTGTCAAGCAAGCCGTGTCGTTCCAACACCTTCTCCCACACCAAACGCAGGCCGCAAGTCACGACCACAGCGGCGCACTTGTCGCTGCTCCGCAACTTCTGAAGAAGGGATGCCATGTCGGGATACAAGGATATCTGTGCCGCAACATCTGAACATGTTTCGGTGAAGGTCCCTTGATCAACCGACTCTTCATAAAGCAGAGCGATTTGGAGGAATGCCGCACTCGTGTAGCCCAGGGGCCCGCCGAAGACAGCTGTCAAGTAGTCTCTCTTCGCTGGGACGGGGTTGCGTTGATGGACGTGCTCCCAGAATAAGTGACCCGCGTCCGCCGCAGACAACGTCTTGTCGGCGTCCAGAACGAGCGCAGCGACGAATGGCCTTGCCTGAGACCGGATGATGCTGTCCAGCATTGCTTCGGCTTGCAGGATGTGGCTCTCCTGACGGCGATGGAGAAAGGTCTCAAGCAGCTTGGAGACTTTCGGGATTGCAGGGTCTTGGTTCAGAGCATAATAGATAATACCACTCTCGTAGCAAGTCGCCCTCAACTGCATCTCCTCCTCTTGTTGCCATCGTCGCAGATGCTCCACCGACAGCTCAGGGCGCCTTTTGCTGTTGTCATTGAGGCAACGCTCGTGGATCACCTCGGCGGGGGGTTGGAGATAGATGATATGGGTGTAAGTCTTGCGATCCTGCTGCGTCCACACCGAGTGCCCTTGGTCGACTGCGCCCGGCCAGAACATGAAGTGTCCGGTAACGATTGCTGCCTTGCCATCGTTGAGGCAGTCCGCCACGACAGTGCTGATGGCGAGCTCACGGATCGGGCGCTTTTGAGCTTCATCGAGGGTTTTGAATGCCTCGAGGCCCGCCGGGACCATTCGGGAGATTGCCTCTGAGCCCTCGACGAAGATGTAGTTGTTCCTGTGGATTTGGCTCAATGCGTTCAGCAAGAACGATTTCCCGGAGCCTGGGAGACCGTAAATCCCAATTACCGCCGGGCGGCCAACAAGCGAATTATTGAAATCGACGTTTGGTTCTGCTGACATTTTCAAAAGCATAAGAATCGTTCAACAAGTCACACAAGTCTCACAGTCTCACTTTCCAACACAGAAGGAGTTTTGTAGTAGGTGCAAGCTTGGGTAAGTAAGACGGCGGTAGATATAGGACAATTGCACCAAGGGGCAGTCTGCGTTTCATGCCCCATAGGGATTTTGACGAGGCAAACCACAGACTTTGTTGTGCGGCGTCTTCAGCGACTGTAGAAATGATCAGACAGCATGCATGGCGCCTTCTGGTATACTGTACCCTTCTGTGTGGCTTTGGTAGCAGACATGGATGTTTGGTATGTGTTGAAGAGACTTCATCTCCACACAGTTGACTTGCTACGTCAAGCACCGATACCATTTTCCGATTGAGCCAGATACCCATGGAACTCGCCGCTCCTGTCGCGAGTGCTCGGGCGCTGCTGCCGCCATCGAGCAATTGTACCTGGTCACCGGTCGCCGGAGGCATGCCGTAAACCACCAACTCTGCGATGTTCGACATCTGCCATCCTCGAAGCTAATCCTGTCGGACTGTACTCCGTACCGACCTCGCGACCAAAAGGCAGACCGAAGAGCAGGATACAGGACATCGTAGCCCTACCTCGATCGAGGACGTCGCAAGTACAGCAACATTGCAAGTAGCGTATGTAGGGAGTAGAGCATGTTCAGATGCAGTACTTGTGAAAATGTCGATCGCAGGTGAGACGAGCAGGACGGTGAATTCCATTTTCGGTTTAGCCTAGTGCCGCTTTTGCACGAGTCATGACTGGAACCTTATTGGTCACGCTCCGACTCATGTTCCGACTTTGCGAAAAGTCGCAACACGGCCCGTCGCCTCAGACTCTGACCTTTGCACTCGCACTTCTTCGCTGCACGTCCCCATCTCCGGTCACTCGTCACTTCAGGCTCCCCCCTGGGTGGACGGATGAGGCGATGCGAGCAATGATCGCAGTGACCTCTGTTTCTATACGATCCCTCGATTGCTGAACGCCCTCCAACCGGGCCTTGTCTTCCTGGATATGTTGCTTCCGCGCTGCGATTGCCCGGGCGATTTCCAGGTATTGTTGAATCATTCGACCACAGGCTGCTTCGCTGTCCTTGACCTGTGCCGTGAGTTTGACTTCGTCTTGCTGCAGCTTGGCATCCTCTTCTTTCAAGACCTGCAATCGAGACGCGAGGGGCTGAAGAGACATGTGCACGTCGACGGAGGCGGGCGCACTTTCTCTGACATTTTCTGTGTGTGGCCCTTTGTGCTGACCTGCCTCGGATGGCGGTTGCAGCTGCAATGTTGCGCCACCGACATGATTCTGCGGCTCTATCCAATCTCCGGGGGGGCACGACTTAGAAGATCTCCCTTGATCGGAGCCACGTTCGTTGTGCAATGCCTCTTTCAGTTTCGTGGCGTGGGAAACAGCCAAACGCCGTCGGACCGATGTGTTCTGTCGAGGGTCAGAGTTCCCGGAAGCTATGTCCTGCTGTCGGCCACTGATTCTGCCACCATCGATATCCATGGAAACTGCTCCGCTGGTTGTTTGTGACTGCCAGCATGACCCAAAAGGATCGTTACCGTCGGCTTCAATTTTCTGTAGTTTCCAACTCAGCTTCTGAAGGTCATTCCCATTTGTTGGAGTGTACTTACGATCCCTGTGGGACAATCGCGTCCGTCAGGCTGGAAAGGCGACATGTTTCCTGGATGGTGAATATAATTCACGAGAGAGGCTGACCCCAACCGGTGACCGCTGGTTATCCTTTTCTGAGGTGGACCAGGTTCCAGGTTTTGAATGGGCGCTTTTTAGCCAAATAGCTTTGAGCAAAGCTTGACCCTATTGGACAAACGACACGAGTTGCCTGGACTGGATTGTGCTGCCATTCAGGTGTGACTAGATAAGATCATGGCCCAGTCGTGCCAGCATCGACTCTAGACTTGTATCACTCTCCGTCCCACGAAAGTCTTCGTCACAGGAGGGAAGTATGGCCGAAGTCCCCGAAGAGATCCTTCATGTGAGTATCCATCTTCGAGCTGCTATTGAATTGGTTCTTACTGTGAGTGATCTGGGTACAGTGGATCGGTGCGCAAATTTACGAGTTCAAGTCACTGGTAGAGAGGCTTCATCGAGACTGGCCTCCCGATGACTTCGACTCCATCCGTAGACAGTTGCTGAGATATGCGCAAGCCATTCAGCACATTGTGGATGCGTCTGGAGAAGGCGATGTCGATGTCACTCAGCCTTGGGACCTTGTCCTTACAGCTGCAGACCTTACTGGATCGAATTTGCCAAATCCTTCTCCGACACTTCCGCACTCATTAACTGATTCGCGACTTCTACATTACGGTATTCCCGACGCCGACTGCGAGCAGTGGGCAGGAGCGTGTCTGATAGACAACAACCTGGCCGGTCCAGCTCTGGGAGTTGTACCAAGTCGACTGACTCCGCTTCAGCTCACAGATCAGCGTGCAAAAGACTCACGTAAAAGGAACCGGTCGGATGAGAGTGGCATCGAGCATGCACGTCCATCGACAACGATCAATCCTGCTCTGCTCCAGCGCAAGCCAACATCTCAGACTCACTGCTTTACGGATCCACAAGTCAATCCAAATACTTTGTCCAGCTCTACGAATCGCCAAAGTGCTACTCTCCCGCCGACGCTATATCAAACAGACCACGTTCAGAACAGTGACGACCACTTGACCCTGTGCCGAAGTACACCACCTAGAACCGCTGACCTAGATGCGTCTCGAAGCCTAATCGGTCGCCCTCGAGGGCGAGCCGCAGGACCAAAGACATCATGCTGTGCACTTTACAGGTCGATCACTGGTCCCGGCGCGCGCGTGCGGCTCATTGAATTCATTTCTTTCATGCGGGAAGCGCCCTTCTCACCTGGCATCCGATGTGGGTCCACCAGTCTTGCAGAAGTTTTCCGAATGTTGGATAATCTATGCCAAGTGCGACATGCCCAGGTGCTGTGGCGACGAATGCTTCTTTTCCGTCTTTCTCAACATCACTACGAACTCTTCGAGGTCGTGGGAAAGGAACGAGAAGCCAGCCCCACAACTTCGAGAATCCAGCGTCAGGGAAGATCGGGAAGTGAAGTCCTGGACATCTTGACGCAGGAGTTGTATCCTCTTATTGCGAACCAAGAAAGCAACAAGTCTCTCGATGTCAAGGCATGGCGCGCGAAGTACTTGGCCAAGAGAAGAAGTGTCAGCAATCGCCTGCACGCAGCGAAGAACTGGAGAAAAGGCGTCGACCGGTTCGGATTGGGCATCCTCGTTCTGTTCCCCTTTGGAGAGGAGTTTACATCCCAGAGTTCCGAGTAGGTTAAGAGATCACGGCCTCCGTGTTCGCATTGACTAAAACAGGACAGGTACGAGACTCTGAAGGAGGAAGACTGTAAGAGTCTGTTGGACGTGCTGGAAAAGGAAGAAGGGGCCTTAATCGCTCCGTTGTCGGCACAGTTGACTCCATTTGTGCAAGCCTTGTGCCATGGCGAAGAGTTCACCCTGGCGTCACAAAATGAGCTGATCGTCGCTCTCAGCCCAATCGCGGAAAGTTCAAATGGCCAACATGACCGGCTGAGAGACGATGCTGGGAAGTAAAGAATCCAAGAGTCTGGCTTGTTACCTAACATGGGGTCATGACCATGGTCCCCTGGTGCAAAAGAGGACTTGATGAACCTGGACGTTTGACATGGAAATTCCGTGATCCGGTTCCGACACCAACAGCGTGCAATTCAGATGATTTCCATTGATCCCAGTAACGGGCCTCGGCTACCCTCACACGATTGTTTGGGGAGAGACTCTGTGTCTCATATCGCGCTTTCAGATAAGTCCGCTTCGTTCCGTTGGCCTCGCTGGCGTTGTCGGTCGACCTCCCAGGTCGACAGAACCTCAGCTTCAGCACTGCGTAGAAGACTCCTTGTTTCGCCACGCTCCATGATCGGGTCTCCTCTGGTGCGTAGCTGCAGCATTCCACTGATAAAGAGCGTCGAGAGCTAATCAGTCGTCAGCAGGTCCCACGCACGATTGATTTCGACAGAAATCACGCAGGGGTGATACATACCAGCAATAAGACGTTCAGCAGGCTCGCAACCAGACAAACCACTGCTACCGTGTCAAGCTTTTCTTGCCAGCGAGGCCCGCAATGTGTCAAGTATCCCGTGGTGCGCTCGCACGTGCGGGCGTCGCTCTGTCGGGAAGGAAAGGGCCACGCGCGATCCGCCATGGAATTGAAGCCGCAGCAGTGTAGTCGGTCTTGGATCGTTCGGACGGTGACATCGTTCTTGGATTGATACCACTGCTTCCATTGCAACTCCATCCGACACGCTGTGGTGGCATGCCCATACGTCTGCAGCAGGGACACGGCGAGGGCTCCGACGGCAAGGTCGTGCACCAGGAAAGTCACCGCACTGGGTACCCCGTTCTGCCACCGGCGAAGAGGGCCCTTCTCATGACTCACGAGAATGGCAGCTACAGCACTTGCCACGTTCAACAGGGATATCGCCGCCAGCGTGGAAGGGAGGAGAAAACGGTGGGTTCGAATCAGGGACCATCTGGTCTCGAACCTCGATCAGTAGCAAGAACAGACAAATGCGTTTTTGGGAGTGGGTTCGACGGACATTGAAAGCGCCAGGACTGCGAGTGCGAGTAATAACGTAGGCGCCTGTTCGCCGTCAGACGGCCCCTGCTTCAGCTGAATTTTGGATAACGTACACTAAAGCCCGCCACATAGAGTTGACGGCTATTCCAGCACATCTTGGAGACTTCTCAAGAGATTGGTATGGGACACAAACACCGCTCATGAAGAGGACGGTACAAGATGGTCGAACATCTTTCGACGGCGAAGAGAAGCGGTACAGCGGAATCAGATTAAGTAGTCTCAAGCCAGTAAGGAACGCAGTAGCATCACTGGCTAGGAACTCGACAATCAAAGAGCTCGGGAACTAGAGTCCGCCACTTTCTCAGCATCGAGTCGTCCTGGTAGGCAGAAGGGAGCGCGGGGCCGCGTCCCCCACCCTCACTTTGCAGCAAACAAGGCCAACGAATGATGAGTGGGTAGAAGCGAGCAAGGCGGCATCTCAACCCATGGGATGGTCACGCTGGGCAGGGCTCTGAATCGCCCGGAGTCGTTGTGAGTCGCCGATTTGAGTATACTAGTAATCTCAGCATGTCAGTATGTCATGATAACGGTTGGAGGTCCTGTGCTCTCCTCTGGTTGTCGGTTTTAGGTACCTACATGTTCCGGCAGATGGAGTGAAATAAGGCCTTGTCGGTATGGTTGCCACATCTGGAGCCGTGTAAGTCACCCACTCACTCGCCTGTCGACCAAGCAAACATGCCACAACGTCCATCACACCTCTCAGACGGCCCCAACAATTCTGTAGCATAGAGCCGCCTCATGGTCCGCTTCCCTTGCACAGCTCGGTTGGAGGTGGAAAGGAAATTTACCGCTCTCAAATGCTCTCCGCTACGAATCGATGGCGGCCACCCCCCTTTCTCGAGCCTGAAGGATCTCGGCCTCCAGAGATTTCGCGACATCTACTATGACTCGGACGCACGACTGTCGAAAGCAGGGACATATGTACGGCAACGCAACGGGCTGTGGCAGATGAAGGTCAAAAGGGGCGGGACATTTGTCAACTCCCGATCTCAAGAGCTGTCGGATCCGGACATCATCTCCAGCCACGTCAAGTCGCTCACGGGACGGGACAGCGCTGTGGGTGACGTCTTCGGACTCACGCGCTGGGCCGACTTCACCACCATTCGCCAAACGTGGGAAGCAGACCACGAGTTCAAGATTGTGCTGGACCAGACCGACTTTGGGCACTCGGTGGGCGAAGTGGAGCTCGAAACCGAGATGTTCATCCGGGACCAGGACCAGGCACGACACGTGACGCTGGCCATGGACGACCGAATCGACTGTTTCTTCCGCCGGTACGCATGGGCATTTCTGGTCGATCGGCCGGTCGGGAAGCTGACAGCTTACTTCGAACACCATGCTCCAGAGCGGGCTTGATACTCCTTTGCCGTGTTTGGCAAAGTCTGGGTTCTTCGAAGGACTCCAGAGCCGTTGTCAGAAGATATCGGCAAACCGACAACGAGAGACCTGAACGGAAACGTCTTTTTCTCAAACAGTGGTCGTCTTCTTGATGAGGCTACAGGGCGGCATTCACAGCACTACCATGCAGGTGCATGGGGAGAATGGCGCAGGGGACGCAGGACCCGGACGGAGTACCTATCGAGTATTTCATATGGCTTAGAATAGCCAGGAGACTAGGCTGAATTTAGGCTAGATCATAACAAAATACCGCTAAACTAGTCTAATGACTTCGATTATACGGAGTACGGAGTGATCCACTTCGAATCACCCTCGGATTCAGGTGTACGAGGTAAATCACCCCAGTTCGGTCCAACGCCCAGCGTAGAGGTGTACCCCGTACGACTTACCAGTTTTTGGGTGCCAAGATTCTGTATCAACGACCAGTCCGGCGCTGCTGTGTTATCTACACGAGACAGTGAGTGTTGAGGCGACACCTAGCAACCTCGTGGTGACTGAGGCGATCCAAGTGCATATATTCGTTCGGCCCCGTCGGTGGCCCAGACTACCCAGACCATGTGGCGGCATGTTTTCCATCGGTTGCTCACGTATCTGGATTAAGGGATGTCGCAAGTATCGCTCTTGTAGAAGACCTATAAAGTTGGACCAAGGCTGGACCATTGGTTGGGTCGCTCTAAAATCCAATACGCACGGGACCAACGGTCAGCCCATCACGCATCTTGATCTAACTCGTACTCGGCGACACCCAAGCCCCAAGTCTGTCCCATACCCACAACCCAGTCTCTAGCTACATTCACCCGCCACTTCTCGTCCGCTGCCTCTTCACTAGGGGCAATTGAGCCGCCGGCGCCAGATGCACGCACGACGAGCCTGAGCTTTTCCAACTCACCAAGCTCGCGGTATATTCGATCAGTCATACCTCGGCCACGACCCACACCATACGGATGAATCGCCCTTAAGATCGCCACAAGCCGTTCGAGGGTGAACGGCCGTGGGATACCTAGATTTGCGGCCGCCGAGAAAATGGACTTGGTTCGTGGTGATTTGGTCGGGGTTGCTGCTTCTTTAGTGGCCGTCACAGTCGGAGTCGACGCCGATTTCCTCTTCGTAGGCGTTTTGCGAATTCTCTTATTGCTCGAGCTAGAGCTCATACGCGAGAAGAGCAGCATGTCGTGCTTTTGTTGAGTGTGGCTTGCGAGGTAGGCGGAAACAAGAACGAGCGTCGGGAAATGCTTCAGGAGGGGCGGGTCACGGGTGGAGGGATTCGGTGGAGGTGACAAGGAGCCATCTTCACGACCGTCACGTTGCGATATCCTCGTCAATGTGTGGTGTAATGTCTCTTCGCCTTCCGACTGGAATAGCCCGCGATGGTGGACTAGGAGTCGAGAGAAGGTCCATGGTTTCGCGTTGGCCGTTGCCTCTTTGGGCGAGACGATTGGCTCGATGAACCGTGGCCATAGTTTGTCGCACGTCGACTGGAAAGCCAGGATCGACGTTGAGGACGTGCTTGCTATTAAAGAGTCGTATACCGTCGTGACAAACTGAGGATAAAGCTTCAATACTGCCGTCTCATCAATCTCGACAGCGTGATTATGTCGCAGTGAAAGGGAAAGATGTGGCTTCAGCCGAGAGGTAATGATGGAAATGGCTTCGGATCTGGTGTATGGTGGGAAGTGCACATATGGTACACCGGCCTTGTGCAGCATAAGTGGCCGGGGTGAGTTAACAGTCAATACAACGGCGAATCCAGGTACCTGGTGTGTCATGTCAGCGGTGCAACCAATTTCTCATACGTACGGACATACCATATCTCCCAGCCGTGCCAGAGCAGGGAGCAGGGTTGGCCCAGGCTGCTTCAACTCGTCCGCATCTTCAATCACAACCACGAATTTCCTTCCATTGACTCTTTCAAACAATTTGCGCAGGTTGCCCAGAAGCGCATTAATACTGTCCACCTTCTCGTATCGATCAATTTGTCCTTCATATCCAAGCGTGATTATGCATGCTGCAAAGATCTTGGAGAGAAGATGCCTCTGTGAGAGGCACTCCTTAGTTTTAATGACGGCGTGGGTGACTTCTCGTGCTCGCAGAACGTTGGCGATCACTTCTCGTTTGCTTGACTGCTCGAGGCCGTATGTGACGAGGACTGACGGACTGGGACAGACATTCTGCGTGGAGGGGTCAGGCAAGTTTGCCAGTAGTGGGTGGAGTGTGCAAACCGCTTACGTTGTAGTAGGTTGCCAGTTGCAAAATTTGTGTTTCGCGGCACGGACAATGCTGTCGAAGCAGGTCAAGTAAATCGGGCGGCAGTATGCCCCCCATTGCAATGGCCGCGTCGAGTAGGATGCCGTTGCTGAGCTGCGCTTCTTTCGATGCTCTTCCTCAGATGCGCTTCATGGGACGCGGAGGACGCGTTCCTGCCGAGCGCGTTGGCCAACACGACTTCCCCACAAGGTCACGTGAATGGCCCAAGCTCTGCGGGCTCCCAGCTTGTCCCTTTGCTACTCCATATACTACGATCAACAGAGCCCGGGTCTGCTGCGGCAGAAAGTTTAGTCACGGAGACTCAAGAGTGGCAGGCACATTGTTCATCGTAAGGTACAATTTCATCTAGCTGCGCTATGCTGTGCGGTTCTAGCCTCTGCTATGGTACAGGCCATGCATCTCCATCGCTCAAGCTGAAGACCATAGCCAAAAGTTGAGACCTCGGGTAAGTACATAACCAATTCTCCACGGCGAGTACATGGAGAATACACAGCGGTCGTTGCTGTCTCGGAACAAGCCAGCAACACCTCTGTGTTCCTGCCCAATCCCCAAGACACCGCTCGTTTCGAGTACAAGATGACCACGCTGGTGCCGGTGGACATATTTTTCATGAATTGCTTCCCTTCCAAAACAACAAAACAAAAACTTTCCAGCCATGTACCTATGGGGAAATGGGGGAAGAAGGTGCAAAATTTCAACCAAGCCATCAGTCATGCAAGAGCTCTAAGGTGTTTTTTTCTCCAAAACTCGGGTGTTGAGTCTCTGATCTCCTACCAGACTGGTGCTGGAGCGATGAATAGCCTCTGGGAAACCATAATACAATATTAGGGGCCGTGACGATTTTTGGGTCATAAAACAAGCCGAATGCTGTTTTCAGGTGTAGGGTGGTACAGTCGTGAAAAGGCAGCAATGCAGACGAGCTGATGCAGACTGCCGATCTATGCATGCGACGCAGAAAGGGATCTTTCAAAATTCATCATGTCGTGAATCGTAAGTGTGTCGCCGGCCGAGTCCATCAGATGACATTGTTGCCACCGTTCATGAATCCAGCGTAGCCGTTCTGCCCGAGGTCGTTGGCATAGTTGTTCGCGTTGTACATGTTGACTGTGGGATCCATCATGCCGTAGCCGTTGCCATTGCCGGCAATATTGTTCTCGAAAGTGTCGGAAGTACGCAGACCGTTGAATCCACCGCCAACAATCTGGACGTTGCGACGTTGTTCGCACGACCGCCCCCAAAGCTCGCCAAAATGTTGTCACTCGGACCTGGAACGGGCCGAGGGGGGGTGTCGTTACCAAGAATCTTGCTGGCGATTCTTCGACCATGGGGCGTCTGCTTGATCATAGGCAGAATTGGTCGGATGGCGTCAACAAGACGAGCCTTCGTGGCAGGGTCTACGTATTCCATGGCAGTTTGTACGACGTAGTTGGCGAAGGAGTCGCGGAGCATCTTCTCGAGCTCATTGCCCATGAACATCTCCTCAACCATCTGTCTCTTCGTATCCATGTCTGCTGTCCGCAGGCACTTCTCAATCACGTTGGAACTGAACTTTTGCTTGGACAGGGCTGCAACACGGCCGAAGAAGTTCTCGCAGAGCGGTTTGGTAAAAGCAGCCTCGTCCAGATCGAGAATGTACTGGACCACGTAATTGCCAAATGGATCTTGCACCAAGTCGAAGGCACAGTGAGTGATGCGAGCAATGAGCTGAGCACGTTGGAACCCCTGGGCATGGTCGATGCATCGTTGCAGGACACAGCAACCATGGCGATGGGTGCCAACAATGACACAATAATTGCCAACTGCATCGTAGATGAACTGAGATCGCTCAGCACCAAGACGAGTCAAGCATTTCTGGACGACATGATTGCCGTTCAAATCCTGGACAAGCTCAACAACACGAGGCGACAATGCTTGAATGATAGTGTCGACCTGAGATGGGGTGTGAACAAATTCAATCATCTTCTGGAGAGCCCGGGTGCCGTGTTGGTTAAGGGCGATGGTGGCCAGAGCAGGCGCAGCAGTGTTGATCAGAGTGGTGCGCTGATCCTCATTACAGTGCTCAAAAAGCTTCTGACAGAGATAGTTGCCAAATGGGTCAGTCATCAGCTCAATGATGTGAGGGCAAGTCTCGACAAAGATGGCTTGGATGTGCTCATCATTGCCATCTTCAAGCTTGCGCTGGAGATAACGACAGCCATGTTGATCTTTGCAAAGCTCATACAGGTTTCCACGGTATGACTCAAGGGGGACGTTGTTGAACCGAGCGTCGTCACCATGGTTGCGACGACCACCAGTACCAGACCGCTGCGGTGTCCCATTGTAAGCATTGTTCATGCCATAAATGCCTTGTCCCTGGGGGTACGTTTGAAGAGCTCCGGTGACCGCAGTCTGAGGATTCATCTGATTGATGTTGAAGGTTTGCATGTTGTACATGAAGGGTGGAGGAGCATATGCTGAAGTGGGACTAGCGAGCGCCATCATATTGTTCGAGTCTGAGGTACTGGTCAGACCTGCGTTGAATGGAGCTGCGCTCGCATGCAAGTTTGATGTTGGAGAAGTCATAGATCTGTCGTCCATCTTCACGGAGCCGCCGGCAACTTCTCGTGAGAGGCGGTTGTTGACTGCGTTGGCAGGAATACGACCTAGGCTGACGTTGTGGTTGTGGAACTGCTGCTCAGCCTGCGTCTTGGGAGGCGTGGGGGCAGTGTCCAGGCTCAGAGTCTTCTTGACAGTAGGAACGTCGTTTGTGGAGTAAGACGTCTGAAGAGATGTAGGACGGGACACGGTCAGATTTGCTGAAGGCAAAGGTGAGGCTTCTTCAAATGTAACGCCCATGGAATGACGCTGAGACTTGCGACGCGTCAGATCCGCAGGTCGGTCTGCAGGAGGGCTGCTAATGTTCAGGTTACTGAGAACAGGTCTGTACATAGACGAGTCGGTGTGGGGCATGCTCTGGTGAGCTGGTCTGTAGCGAGAGCCAAGAGTCCAGTCAAGGTCCGGGGTCTTGGAGTTTGCCAGATCCAGAGCAGCAGAGTTCGCAGAGAGCTAAGAAGGAGTCAGTGCCATGTTAAGGAGACGATGAAGACAGCGGATCTCTCACCTTCAGTCCGTCACTCGTCAATGTGGGGAAGGTATCGTCACCCTCGAGTTGAGCAAAGGCCTTTGCAATGGGAGAAGTGAGGTCAATGGCGTTCAATTTGTCCTCGTCTTCATCAAAGAGAAAGCTCGTCGTGTTTGCCAGGCCGAATGAATTGCCTCCAGTTCCGCTCACACTCAGTCGTGGATTGCGACCGGTGTTCACTGGCATAGAAAAACGATTTAAACTAGTCGGACAAGTCAGTTGTTTGTTATTGATCAGAGTCGGAAAAGACGGTTCAGTTGAAACAGAGACAATACCAAGGCGTCGCCAGATGTGATGGGGAGTGAATCTTATCGATCCCGTGATCTCGGAAGCGGAACAACGTTGATGCGAAAGAGATAAGAGAGCGGAGTGCAACAGTGAGCAGCAAGTGATGAAATAGATGAATACTTACGAAGCAGCAGCCCGAGTTGTGGGCAGATCTTCAGGGTAGTACTCGTCCTCGTCAGATCCTCTGCGAGATCCAGGAACAGATTTGGCCGATGGTTTCTGAGATTGACTGAACATGCCGTTGCCAGATAGTCGGTTGGCGGGCGGAGATGTGACTTGAGAGCTAGATTGAGACATTCGCTTGCTGAGACCAGGAGGAGAAAGAATACTGTTCGTGGACAATCGGCTAGAGCGGGAGAACCGGTTGCTGAAACCACTTTCAGCGTACTCAGGAGGAGTAGTTGGCTCGCTGACCGGACCGTTGAGACTGATGCGATTCAGATGAGTCGAGATCCGGTCCAGATCTTGAGTGCTGGCCCCCATCTGAAGACTTCGTTCCTGCATTTCCAGGAGGCGCAGCTGCTCTTCAGCCTTGCGCTTCGCATTCTGAATGTCTTCGAACATCTGTTTATTCTTCGCCTGCTGGATATTGCTGTCAGCCTCCATCGCCACCACGAGATCCCAACCAAGAAGTAGATATCGCGAGTATATGAGGGAAGCTGATTATGTCAACGGGATTTATAGGCCGGATGGTTGTGGAGGCAGCAGACATCGGCATCTGAAACTGACATTCGCTTCACAGCCAGCGCGACACATTACAATCCTCATTGTTTCCAAGACACAATAGCACAATCTTGACTGGTGACACAGGGACATGTGACGTACCGCGGTCGAGTTCACAGAGGGATACTGTTGTCCAAATGGTCTGGCCACAGACATCTTGCTCGAGTCGGTCGTGAAGCGACGCTGAAGGCCGCCGCGAGCATCGTTGGAGGATGCATGCATGTTGGAGAAAAAGGGGTTCTGTTCTCGCGAGGAAGATCCGTTTGAGCTGTACGGACTCTCTGTGTCCGGGGATCGTAGGTTTGGGAAGCGCAGTTCTTCCATGCGGCCACTCAAAGCGTTGGAGAACGCCATATTCGAAGACTGCACCGTGCAACTGTTAGCAAGGTCGAGAGACAGTGTCCATCTATTCCAGTCCAAGCAGACACCTCTCGCATAATCGTCGTACATGTGTGGCCTCGAGGAGCACTCGAAATTGCTCGGATTTGAAGCACAGGCCATATGACAAGTGGGCACGCGTTGGACTGGACTGCGTTCCCGGATGCACACCTACCTAGAAAACGCCAAATCGAAATGCAGCGCTTTTATAGTCGTTGTCTCAATCGGCAGACCTCGTCGTGTCCACCTAACGTTGTGGGTACTCGGTGTGCGCGTGGTCGAATAGCGAGGAAAGGGAGTAAGAAAATACAGACGCAGCCACACTGCGTGCGTGCTGGTGGCAGCACGGCGGTATGTGTATGCTATAATGACAGTGATACAACAAGAAGATGGCACGAAAGGAAAGAATGTTGGTACAACGTGGTCGAGGTGAAGTAGGATGAGGCACCTCAGGAACGGGTTCGAGTCTGGAGAGAGTGCCAGAGTAGCAGTGGAGGTTGGATTCGGCTTGGGCTTTTTGAGTGCTCGCTTTTAGGCAAGCGCCAAA